ATAGAAATTGAACTGCTTTTTATAGACTTCCAACAAGCATTTGATTCAATAAACAGAGCGAAATTACTTACAGCTATGAGAGAAATGAGAATACACAACAAATTAAGACGATTAATAAAAATGACAATGAGCAAAACCGTAGTAACTGTAAAACACAAGAAGGAGACACAGAAGAATTTGTTATAAATAAAGGTGTACGTCAAGGAGATTCATTATCTGCAACTCTGTTTAATCTTGCCCTGGAATATATAGTCAGAAAAATCAACAAAGGTACACTTAGAACGAGAGAGGGACAAATAATAGCATATGCCGACGATATTGTGATAATAACAAAGAACAGAAAAAAATGGAAAGTATGTTAAAAGAATTGGTAGCAGAAGGGAAAGTAATGGGATTAGTAATAAATCAAGAAAAAACAAAAATAATGAGATTTGACAAAAAATATGAAAACAAAAAGGTTAGACTGGGAGAATATATATTTGAAGAAGTAGAAAAGTTTAAGTATTTGGGAATATTATTAGCAAACAATGGAGAAAGGGAAACAGAAATTAAAGAAAGGATAATTACAGCAAATAAGACATACTATGCAAATAAAAAGCTTCTAAAAAATAAATTACTGAGCAAAAAATCGAAAATGAAAATATATCAAACAATAATTCGACCGACTATGATGTATGCTGCCGAAACCCTTAGCATGACAAAAAAACAAGAGGAAGACCTTAGAATACTAGAAAGGAAAATACTAAGAGTAATATTAGGACCAATAAAAATTAATGAAAACCAATATAGACAAAGAACGAATCATGAACTACTAAACGAAATTAAAGAGGATATAGTTTGTAAAATAAAACAGCAAAGGGCAAAATGGCTAGGACATATATGGAGATCAGGACCATCTACGACAATATTCTTAATATTGGAATGGACACCGGCTGGTAAACGAACACGTGGAAGACCAAGATCTACATGGCTACAAGAAGTAACAAACGATCTCAACAGGGCGGGCGTACGGCAATGGAGAGAAAAAACCAGAGATAGGAAACAGTGGAGAAAAATAACAAGTAAAATTAAATAAAGAAAATGAGGACTGATCTGCGGCGTAACCCCGTACGGGGTGTTTAGCCACAATATATATATATATATATATATATTATATATATATATATAATATATATATATATATATATATATATATATATATAATAGGTAAAGAAATATTAATAAGACTTACTCACAATCAATTTAATTTAACAATCAGACGACCGGTTTCGCTTTCTACAATTTGCAAAGCATCTTCAGGTCTAGATACAAAGTTAAACTAATGATGCCGGTACTCTATTAATTGATGGATGGTAGGTCATGGTTGCAAAAATCATGTATTGTTGATTGGAGAACTTTAATGTGCTATTGCAGTTGTTTTGACAATAAACGGGAAGTTCTTGAGGAGAACAGATTTGATCCAATGAATTAGAGATAGGTATATTGTGGTTGTTTGTCAAATGAAAGTGATTTTCTTTACTATTGTATTATTTAAATTATTTACACTTATATCAGAGATATATTTTTGGAATGTGTGTTATTTATTGAGTATTATGTTATGAAGGAGACAGTTTTATGACAATGAATAAGAGTAGCTGTACCGATTGTGTGGTTGTGCAATTATTTTGACTTGTAATTATCAAGTCTATTGGCAAAATTAATCAATTATTGTAAAGTCAAGTATATAAAAAGTATATAAAATTATTACAAATTAAGACAATCAGGGACAAATTAAACACACATTAACAGGAACAGAAACACTAAATGACGGGACAAACATTGAATTTAAAACTTAAACTTGGGGAATGGAAGAAACTGCAAGCACTACATCTCAGTGTTGGAAGTAACGAGTTTTTTTATATTTAAAAGAAAGAAATATATTTAAGAATCTAAAAAAAAAACTCATTACTTCCAACACTGAGATGTAGTGCTTGCAGTTTCTTCCATTCCCCAAGTTTAAGTTTTAAATTCAATGTTTGTCCCGTCATTTAGTGTTTCTGTTCCTGTTAATGTGTGTTTAATTTGTCCCTGATTGTCTTAATTTGTAATAATTTTATATACTTTTTATATACTTGACTTTACAATAATTGATTAATTTTGCCAATAGACTTGATAATTACAAGTCAAAATAATTGCACAACCACACAATCGGTACAGCTACTCTTATTCATTGTCATAAAACTGTCTCCTTCATAACATAAATACTCAATAAATAACACACATTTCAAAAATATATCTCTGATATAAGTGTAAATAATTTAAATAATACAATAGTAAAGAACATCACTTTCATTGACAAACAACCACAATATACCTATCTCTAATTCATTGGATCAAATCTGTTCTCCTCAAGAACTTCCCGTTTATTGTCAAAACAACTGCAATAGCACATTAAAGTTCTCCAATCAACAATACATGATTTTTGCAACCACGACCTACCATCCATCAATTAATAGAGTACCGGCATCATTAGTTTAACTTTGTATCTAGACCTGAAGATGCTTTGCAAATTGTAGAAAGCGAAACCGGTCGTCTGATTGTTAAATTAAATTGATTGTGAGTAAGTCTTATTATTATTTCTTTACCTATTTGATATGGACTCACACAAGCAACACATTCATGATTTATATATATATTTATTCGTGATAGCTATTCCCCAAATCTGGAACACTATATTAGCTTTTACAGATCTACTGGATAATTAATTTAAGTTTTGAAATCATTATCGGTGATAACTTGAAAATAAACCCAATTCTTATTAACGCCACTCAAAAATACTACGAACAAAACTTTGCAAGAATTAAAATGGGACAAGAAATCACCTTTTCTTTTCAAATTCAAACAACACAGGGACTAAGACAAGGCTGCTGTCTGTCACCTACCTTATTTAAAATCTATTTGGGCAGATCCTTAGTGAAATGGGTAAAAAAATGTAGAAACATGGGAATAACGGTGGAAGAAAACAGGCTATATACACTTTTCTTTGCGGATACCAGGTAGTAATCGCCGAAGATAGCTACGATCTTAGCTATATGGTAAGAAAACTGCAAGAAGAATATGAGGTGGCAGGTCTAAACATGAATATGACAAAATGTGAATATCTATCAGTGGGAACAGATGAAATATGTGACCTAGTCTTGAAAGACGACAAAATCAAAGGCGTACAATCCTGCAAATATTTGGGGGTCATTTTCAATAAGAAGGGAAATAGCGCAGATGAAATCAGGGAAAGAATAAACAAGGGTAGAGCAGCGATCCGTGCCTTAAACTCTCTTCTCTGGCAAAAAACAATTCGACGAGAAACCAAAAAACACATTTACGGTAGTATAGTCCAAAGTATTACACTTTACGGTTCGAAAGTATGGGACGTCACCAAAGCTAATAAAAACAAACTTATGACTACAGAAATGGATTGTCTGAGACGAAGCTGCGGTAGATCGAAACTAGAAAGAGCTAGGAACCAACAAATAAGAAACGAAATGAAAATGAAGCGAAATATCAATGATGACATAGAAAGAAAACAATTAATCTGGTTCGGATATGTGAAAAGAATGCCAGAGTACAGATGGCCTAAAAGAGTACTGGAATGGATCCCTCCTCAAAAAAGAAAGACAGGACGACTACGGAGAAGTTGGCGCAACGATATTGATGAAGCAATGGCGGCAAGAGACTTAGAAGAGGCAACTGCGTATGACAGAAAAAGATGGAAATTGGAGGCGGAGAAGCGGCTACAGCCGTAATTAATCCGTTATTATATATATATATATATATATATATATATATATATATATATATATATTATATATATATATATATATATATATATATAAATCATTATCGGTAGCCTTCAAAAAATATTTGTTGTCTGCGATGTAATTTTTCGGAATCATTGTAAGACATACCTATATCAGGTTTCGTGTTGTAGAGTCTACAGCATGTCTTCCGAAAAAGACTTATTACATGTAATTGTATCATAACTGGCTTATGCCCAGTAAGAAAGTCTGGTATAACTCTTATTTGATTCCTGCTTGTATTCCACAGTACTTCAGCCCTATTACTGCATGTTCGTTTAATATACTTTTTATTATCTGCTTGTTCGAGTATACTTTCCCAGTAAAATATATGTTCCGTTCGGTTTTAGGCTATTTTACGGTCACAAAGAATGCTTTTTCCTACTGCTATGGCCGGCTTTGAATCGACACAGTTTACATTGTATTCTTCAGTGACCATTAATCTATATCTGTGTGACACTGTTATATATTGTTAATATGTCTAATTCTATTTGGCACTTCCACACTAGCCTAGATCCTGCTTAGGAATTATAAGACCATCTATGACCCCTTTTTAGCTGTATACTTTAAGTCACCCACTGCAGTTCCAAAGTAATCCTATTAATTTCTTCTGTTAGAATACATCGGTACATTCTCCTAGCGAAATAGAGCCTGATGTCAGTTTAATTTGTCTATCCCTCTCTTAAACAGATATCAATTGGAAAAGTACCTTATATTGGGGTATGATATGGTTAAAATTCATCACACATTTAGTATCCTCATTTTCTTTGCAAGGTTTCTATGTCCTGTCCTAACGGGGGAAGGTCCAGTAAGGCCTCCATAGTGTACCACTTATACCTCCTGTCACTCCTCGGTAAGGAAGTATTTGGTCCATTTACAATGTATTTTAATAATGCAATTCTTTGATATTTAATGAGTGTTGTTAGGTTTAGTGTTGAACATAATTGATCTCACTGTGCTGGTTTTTGAAATGTTGGAACAAACAAATAAATGTAAAATGTAATTTTCATTACAATCAATTGTAGTTGAATCCCAGATACATAATAATGTTTAACTTTATTGTTAATGTTTTCTTTTATTTGCTTTTAATTTTAATTTTGTATTTCCTTCTTTAAATTTAATAGCAACAACTTAAAATAATACTAAGAATATGTAAACACACCCTCTCACCTAACTAGTTCTGGCAAATAATACATAAAATCAGCAGACACGTGAGTAGCGTAAGTCACTTCCGGAACTCCCTCCGCCATTTGAGCCATAAGTACGTTGTAGACAATTCTGTAGGAAGTTTGTTTTCCTAATTCTGGTCCAAAGTCTACGTCGGCATTTCCATAATTAAAATCCTTGGGAACGTTGTAATTAAAGTTGCAGTAACTTTCGTTGGATGGCTCTGAATAAAGATAGCTGACAAAGTCTCCTATTAAAAAAAATAACAGTTTATTAGAGTACAAATATATAGTTATGTTAAGTTTATATGTATCTAAGAAACAAACAATTAAATTTTTAGAATTATAAAATTCACCTTACCGCTTTTAAGGAGTAGTAAGGTGAATTAAAAAAAGACATTAAAACGTTTCTATTATCACACAAATTAAAAATAAGTGACGAACCTATGGGATAGCAGAAAAATAGGAACCACGACAGAATGTCTTGGTACGGTGTGATACAATCATTGAGAAACTGTTGTATAAGTTATAAGGATACTGAGATTTTAATACATTAAAGTAAGTTTTTTATTAACATGCACTCACTTAAATTTACCACTAAAATTGTCCCTTTACACTTTGCAACCATTTTCAAATTCATGACATAAAAAAAATGTTACGATTAATACTATAATATTTTTATTTTCACTTGTCTAGTATTAGTATGTGAACTTTCATGTAGTTGATTTCAGAAAATTTAGTATATTTATATTAAGTTTATATGATTTGTTATTTTCATTATACAGCTCAATCCTTTTGCATTTTCATTTTAGAAGGAATGGGAGCTACGTTCCTTAAATCTGATAATAAAATAATATTCATTGTATATTACCAAAATAAAAAAAATGAAAAATATAGCTTAATTTATTTTAATATAGAATACACAAGATAATGTTTCAAACATACCCAGCTTTAAATTTTAATGAATTCCTTGCATGGGATTTAAAAATTATAGTATCAAAAAGGCATCGCGTCAAAAATATTGTGACAGTAAAAACACAAGTATATCTTTGGGACAATTCCTTCTGGTCATTACTGAGAATATATGGCAAATCTTTAATAAAAAGGACACAACGAATATAAATGTAACATTATTGCTGCTTTAAAAAAGACAAAAATATTTAGATACTAATATCATATCGCTTTCAGTATGCCAGAATAAAACTTTTTTTAAATCTTTTATATTCAACTTAAATTTTATAGAAAACATTGGCCAATACACATTTCGTGGCAGTAATATTTTTTGGTATTCCAATATGTTTCGCACTCGAAAATCAAAATAAAAGCAAAATTTGTTTATTACCTACCAATCTTAAGTAAGCAGCAATTATATCTTAAAAATAGGTAGATAAGTGACATATCAATATTGGGCCGTGTCGCCACCGTATATATTATCTTAGCAGGACAAATTTAATGTCTCAGTTTAAGACAAATAAATCATTACATTTCTATTATAATGCAAGCATAGGCACAGTTCATCCGATTTTATACATAAGTAAATATTTATTGGCGTATGAAGTAAGTCATTTCCTATTACGTGGTTACGTATTTGTAGTTAACATTTGTTTTCTTTGTTTAGATAAGTACACTGTGATTTATTGTAAATTACCAACAAAGTAGATCGTCAAGGCAGTGTTTAAATCAGGCTAACAGTTTTTGGTCTGCTTGTAACAAACTAAGCTTCACATCGCAAAAACCGTACTATCACCCCACTTTTATATGGAGCTTACAAATTTTATTTCCGAGTTAATACAGGAGACAATGATAAGTCGTGGGTTCTTTAACTATGTTGTAAAACTTTTGTAGCATTAATTACTATTTAACTGGGAATAAGCCACACTTAAAGATAAAAATACGTTTATTGACGTTTCAATTTCCACTTCGGAAATCGTTCTCAAAATACAAACAGTAAATTAAACAAATTTTGTTTTTGTTACATAGTGAAAAATTCTTCTAATAATTTAATTTAATCTGACTCATTTATATTGACATTTCAGACATATATTATGCATTTTAAAGTAGACGACTTAAAAATGATATTGCCAATATTGTTGACTTGCGCTCCTGGGACGACTTTACTTATAAGATAGTTCATTCGATTACAAGAAATCAACTTTAACTAGAGAATATCCATCAGAAAAAATCATAGCATATATTTCGTCTTTAAAAAGACAAACACATGACATGATGACAGTAAAATGCTCCTGTTAGTGATTCCATAGTAAATTACGAGGGAAAAACCAGGAAAAAAAACCTCATAATACTATCCCGACATGGTAAGTATTTGTTCGTGCATTTAGTTTACCTTCAATAAACACCAAAATTCTGATTTTATATGTTTAGTTATTTAAAAAACATAAATGATGTATCCTCTATATGTTACTGACTTACTAATACTGGTATTTTCTTATTAATAACTTCCTCTTTCAATATTGGTAACCAGATCCTACTACATTCTGCCGAGGAATTTACGACACAATTGGCCTCATTTAGCATAATTAAAGCCGCTTCTTTAATTTTTCTTTTTTTACCATCCGTCTCTTTTAGGACTACATTTGAATTATTTCATTCAACCCTATGTTCATTATTTCATGCGTGTTTACATATTTGAGATCTATCAAATTCTCTATTTTTAATACAAGACTGATGTTCACTTATTCTAGCATTTAATGGCCTTGATGTTTCACCTAAATAAAACTGATATTTTATAAATGGTATTTTACAAGGTATTATATAAATGTTATTTTCTTTTGTTCATTGTTAGGTTTGGTTTTGGACAACAAACATTTAAAACAACAAACACGTTGAGATATATTGTGTCCAAAACCAAACCTAACAATGAACAAGAGAGGACAAAGAATTGCATTTATAAAATACCTTGTGAATGCGATAAGTTTTATTTAGGTGAAACATCAAGGCCATTAAATGTTAGAATAAGTGAACATCAGTCTTATATTAAAAATATAGAATTCGATAGATCTCAAATATGTAAACACGCATGGGATAATGAACATAGGGTTCAATGAAATAATTCAAATGTAGTCCTAAAAGAGAAGGATGGTAAAAAAAGAAAAATCAAAGAAGCGGCTTTAATTATGCTAAATGAGAACAATTGTGTCGCAAATTTCTCGGCAGAATGTAGTAGGATCTAGTTTCCAATATTGAAAGAGAAAGTTATTAATAAGAAAATACCAGTATAAGTAAGTCAGTAACACATAGAGGATACATCATTTATGTTTTTTAAATAACGAAACATATAAAATCAGAATTTTGGTGTTTATTGAAGGTAAACTAAATGCACGAACAAATACTTACCATGTCGAGATAGTATTATGAGGTTTTTTTTCCTGGTTTTTCCCTCATAATTTACAATGGAATCACTAACAGGAGAATTTTACTGTCATCATGTCATGTGTTTGTCTTTTTAAAGACGAATTATATGCTATGATTTTTTCTGACGGATATTCTCAAGTTAAAGTTGATTTCATGTAATCGAATGAAATATCTTATAAGTAAAGTCGTTCCAGGAGCGCAACTCAACAATATTGGCAATATCATTTTAAAGTCGTCTACTTTAAAATGCATAATGTATGTCTGAATTGTCAATATAAATGAGTCAGATAAAATTAAATTATTAGAAGAATTTTTCACTATGTAACAAAAAACAAAATTTGTTTAATTTACTGTTTGTATTTTGAGAACGATTTCCGAAGTGGAAATTGAAACGTCAATAAACGTATTTTTATCTTTAATTGTGGCTTATTCCCAGTTTAATAGTAATTAATTTACAATGCCACAAGAAAATAGCTTCAGAACAATGTTAAGACAATATAGTTACAAGTAATATTTGACTATAATAAACTATACACTAAACTCAGTATAACAAAGTATTTATAACTTCACACTTTATATGTACAGACTAAATAATATAAGACGCAAATAAATGATGAAGATTATCTGATTTTTTTATGGCTGTTTTACAACATTATATGAAATTGTATGCACTTGTTTTCAAAAATCATAGGTAGATGAGATGAGCTATAACACTCACATATTTCTTATGATTTTAAAGTCGCCATTAACAAATTTTTAGCGAGGTGAAGATGCAAGTGTTTGTGTACCCCTTTTAAATTAGTTTAATCTGCTATCTTATTTATTTCGTAATAAATTTGTCTAGTGCATTCTTGTAAATGCTCCTATTCATGCATTTCACAATTTTATCATTCTCATTTTTCTAATCAATTATCCACAAACACTAATTATATGTCTGGTAGTCAGAAGAAAAGATCAAGAAAACAAGATTTAATTTTGAATAACCTTCTTTATAAGTGTTATTACATTCTTAACAAAATGATCCCCTGTATATGTTACAATAGTAACAAAAAGGATTTAGAGGTATTTAAGATTACTTTATTTTCTATAAAATGGTGTTTTAGACAAATCAAATAACTGTCTATATAAAATTTACTTCAAAAATAAGGAGAGTACAAGTTGCTTACATTTAAGATACTAGATAAAACGAAAAATGGGCGAAAGAATTGCATGAAGAATACAAATATAGTATGAAAAAAAATTGACAACAGAAATGAAGCTGATATAAATTCTTTATACTAAGGCAGTAAGAAAGTTAAGGCAGTTGGACTAGATGGTATTCTTAGCGAAGTGTGGATAGCTTTCACAGGTACAGGAATAGGCTGGCTCTAGGTTTATTTATTACAATTATAAAATGGGCTATAAAGTAAGATACAATTTAGATAAATGAAAAAGCAGTACCTGTTCACAAAAATAAGGGAGATATACAAATTACAGGGCCATAAAAGTACTTAGTCATACCATGAAAATATGCGAGAGATAAATTCATAAAAGTATAAGTGAAGAAACCGACATATTTGATAATTAGTTTGGTTTTATACAAATGCAGATCAACAACAGATGTGATTTTGATTATAAGACAGCTTATAGAGTTTCTCGAGAGACCTTGTGGTTTTTCCCTGTATTATGAGTATCAAAATCTCATATTTGGGTCCCTTAATTACGTGGCCTAGGTATTTCAGTTTTCTGGTTTGTATGGTGGTAATTAGTTCTGTTGCTTTACCACCCTTGTCCAGTACTTCTCTGTTTCTAATTATATCAGTCCATATTTTTAATACTCTGCAATTGGATTTTTTTTAATGTTCAAGTCTCAGCTTTATATAATAATATTGAAAATCTA